TTCATGGACTTGGAGAAGGCTTATGACAGAGTGGACAGGGATGTGTTATGGCAAACACTGAACTCATTTGGGTTGAGCGCTGGTCTGATACAGGCATTGAAGTCTCTATATAGGGACTCTAGTGCTTGTGTCAGGATCAACGGGGACTACTCGGACTGGTTTGACATCCATAAAGGTGTCAGACAGGGCTGTGTGGCTTCCCCGTGGTTGTTCAATCTATTTATGGACAGTTGTTTGGAAAATTTGAAAGTAGAAGAATGCGGGTTAAGAATGGGTGAGTTAACCGTCAAATGCCTTTTGTACGCCGATGATCAAGTCATACTTGCGTCGTCGGCAGCCGAGTTGCAAATGATGGTTACATTAATGAACAGGACATTAAAAGAAAAGGGAATGAAAGTGAACGCAAGTAAGACGAAAGTTATGGTTTTTGAAAGAGAAGAAAGTAAAACGATATGTGAAATAAGAATAGAAGGGGAGTTGGTAGAGCAAGTAGATGAGTTTGTATATTTGGGATGTGTGTTTAGCAGGGATGGTAGATATGATAAGGATATAGAACGACGAGTTAATGCAGGAAATAGAGTGAATGGGGCTCTACACTCTATTGTGAAAAGTCAGAATGTGTCCAAAAAGGCACGTATGGCAATTTACAATGCTGTGTTAGTACCTACTTTAATGTATGGTAGTGAAAGTTGGGTGTGGCAGAAGAAGCATGAGAGTAAAATAAATGCTGTAGAAATGCGGTCATTAAGGAGTATGTTAGGGATGAAGCTGAATGACAGAGTGAGAAATTGTTTAATAAGAGAAGAGTGTGGTTTGCAAGATGATGTTGTGACCAGGATTAAGAAAGGAATGCTTCGGTGGTTTGGCCATGTAGAAAGAATGAATGAGGAAAGAGTGACAAAGTAAATTTATGTTGCAGAGGTGAACGGCATAGTCGGGAAGGGTCGCCCTAGGCGAAAGTTTATCGACCAAATTGGCGATATATTAAAAATGGGCCAAATCAAGAGTACCTTTAACCGACGAGCGTGTATGCGTAGGTATATGGATGTGGAGGAAGCGAGAGAGGTGTGTCAAGATCGTGCCAAATGGAAGTCCATAATCTCTGCCTACCCCTCTGGGTGACAGGCGTGAGTGTTTATGTATGTATTACAATATAATATATGACTATTATATAGGCTACCTAGATATATATATATATATCTAGGTAGCCTATATAATAGTCATATATTATATTGTATATAGGTAGCCAGGGTTCCCAACTTCTTTTATATAGGACAAGGGTAACAAACGAGCATATGGTCCACCTGATGGTAAGTGGTTACTGTGTCCCATAGACATCTACATCTATCCTTAATTAGGTATTAAAATGCATCTGCGTTGTCACACGTTAGGACTAAGATGTAATGCCTCGTTTCCATTAAAAATGGTCTCCGGTTCTCTGCACTCATCATACCATAGTTTTACTATGACTATACGAAACACAGCAGTGTTGACCTGCTATTTGACGCTGGTATTCTGTGAGAGCGTGGTCCTTCCCCGGTCGAGACGACCCATTCGCGCTACAACTATTCTACTTATACACCTGTAGCATGGCTCTACCACGTAAAAACGTAGGGGTTTCCCCCTAAATTTAGGGGGTAAATAAGTGGGATGGGATTTTTAGGGGCTTTATATTTTTTCCACGTAAGCTGATTTTTGTTTAGAAGTTTGCGATGATTGTAGTGAAGCTGACTGTAAACCTTTTGAAATTTTCTCAAAATTCGGGTTGTATGTCTTGCATTTATTATCACGGTTGCAATTTCTTGTTATCTATTGAAATGCTACTAAATGCACTGCAACGAGATAGCGCATCATTTATAAGATTTAATCCATTAACTAATATATATGGTAATTTAATATCCAAATGTATGATTTTAATATGTTGAAACCATTAGAAAAAAAATGAGTTATAATTTAAAATATTAAATAATTTATATATAAAGAACATTAGAAAGCATTGTACTTATTTTATAGGGGTTTCCAAGTAAATAAGGTGATTTTAGGGGGTTTCGACCATATACTTAGAATATACTGGCGTATAGACCACCTGGCAGCCCGAAAACGCGTGACCAATTATGATTTGTTATTGTGTGCGTTAGCTAGTGATGTATATTTTACTTACAAGGACTATCGAAAATGATTGTTAAGGAAGCGATAAAAAGATTTAAAAAAAGTTTTTAGTGCATGAAGTTGAATAACTTCAAAAATTAACTGAATTTTACCATGATAGTTCTAAAATAATTAAAAAAGTATTCATATAACATGTTCCTGGGAATAAGCTAAACCTACCTGCCTTTTGTTTTTCGTTGTTCGATTTCAATTAAAATGTATAAAATCCCAGGTGACTTGACCGATAAACTTAAAAAACTCCCCAATAATCAGAACGGAAATTTGTATTTTCGAGCTATGATCTTTGGGGAAAAATATTTACTGCCGTGGGCAGTTTCCCCGGAATTTCTTTTTAACATATTGTTAATATAAATAGGAAGATGCTTAACTAAGAATATTATACCTATTTATATTTTATATCTATACTAATCTATACTCATTTATTAAAGTGGAAGAGTTTTTTTTGTTTTTTTGTTTGTTTAAACGCGCTAATCTCTGGAACTACCAGTACGATTTGAAAAATTCTTTTTGTATATTATAGCCAGATTCATGTAGAATAGTATAGGCTATCTAGCATTAAGCTATATTACTCAACTAGCCTTAAATATGGATATTTGTTAAGCAAGTCAGAAGAAAAAGCACTCCCGAAATGATTTATCCGCGTACGCTGGTGTTATCGTTAGGGATACGTAAATACAATGTTCTAGAAAAATAAAGACCTTTACTTCGTCTAAAAAAAGTCCGCGATACCATATGTCTATTTCTTATACATAAGCCATAATTTGGTATTTTGTGACAAAAAAATATTGAAAATTTAAAAGTTATTTATGAGCGTTATTATTAGGCATGGCCTATTTATTATTACGAACGAAAGTTACTTCATCATCAAGACAATTTTATGAAGATAAATTTTGTTCTTTATACCATGTTATTTGGACGCATAGTTTAAGAGATAATGTAAAATTAAAATAATACAACACTTGGCTGGGCGCGCGAACAACGCTTAAACCCTAGCCGTAAAATGCTTGAACTAGGTCATGTCGCGCACCTCGGACACGTGATGACGTGGTGAAACCGCGGGGCACAGCTAGTATTTTATAAAATGTTTACGGGGAAATAAAAACGGGGACACGAAGTACATAATGGCTGCTTTATTTTTCATATAAGTATTACTTGTGATAATTATAATCATTTAATAATTAATAATTAAATACATTATAGAACTTTATTTTAACATTCGACCTAAGTATAAATGTAAACTTAATAATTCAATGAAGGAAATTTGTAGGAATCAGTTAAATAAGATTGCTCTGTTTAAAGGCCAATATGTTTATGAGGCTTCATCATGCTTCATGTTTATATTCTTTCATCTGTTCCTGAAAACTATAAAGTAATAATAAACTTATTATCATTTTAGCTGCATGAATTTTAAAAACATAATGATCTTAACACAGTAAAGTGGACTAAGTGTCTGAGGATACAGATGCACTCTCTATTCTCTCAATCTTGGTATGTTAAGAAAATAGTCACTCATTCATGGACTGACCGCGGCAAGTGCAACATACAAGTAATTAAAATCAAACATAATCAAACCATATATACTTTATTTTTTTAGTTTAAAAGACCAAAATATAGAGATACGATTTAAATAACACAACAGACTTTGGCATATTATGCCAATTTTAGTTCCCGGTACAGACAGATCAAATCGGCAGAAGCATTTTGTATGGCATAGCCCCGCCTAAGGGTATTAGTGTTCTGTGGCATAGCCAGTCCAGCGTTCTTGTATATATAGAGGTCAGTGACTGAACAGATAAGTTGGTGGCACTGTACTGTAACATTTAGCTACTTCTAGCATTTTTTCGGGGTAAAAAAAACTGGCAATCGAGCAACATTTTGAAAAATGTCTAGCAACTGGGTACTCTGGTTTCCCTTCAAAACGTATAGGTAAATCATTCGCCTTTTTTCTAGCAAGCTAGCAACTGGGTAAAGCTAGCAGTTGGGAGTTTTGGCGGGAAATTGACCGGCGGCGGTTTGCTGCTCCTGTATTATTGTTTAAATAATGGTTTGAAGTGGACTTTGATATGTAAAAGTGTTGCGATTTTGTGTATTAAGTGTCTACGCATGTGAACTATTAGTGGAAACAGTGAAACAAGTGCTCTGATGGTGATGGATTCTCAAGATAAGCTGTTTGTTTGCATAGGCACCTTTAGATACCATCGCCAACTATCAGCTGTCTGCTGGATCAAGTTGCCGCCAAAATCTCCCAAGAACTGCACAATGTGACGCATCAACATATTGTGAAGCAGTATACTATGAAGGAGTAGGGAAATTACAATAAACCGAATAAAATACTTAAGACTTGGCCTAAAGGTCTAGATACCAGGCCATAAACTCCAAAAAAAAAAAGCTAGCAGTTGGCTACATTGAACTAAACGTCAAATCGTCAAGTTGGCCATCAACTCCACAAAAAATCAAATCGTCAAGTCAAATCAAAACAAGGCAAGCGCTCCAATACGCTTATTATACTTTATATTATACTTTATACTTTATTCTTTTATTAATTTTAAAAAGTCAGTGATATAAAATGTAAATTGAGATTACTATCAAAGAAAAATACACATTAGTAAAAGTTATCTCTAAATCCGTTTTTACTCATATTTTATTGCAGTAAATTAAGTAAAGAAGCTGTATAAAAGAACAATATTTATTATCAAAATACATAATTATTATACTACCTATTTTTTATTTCAATTTTATGTTTTTATAATCATTATGTTTCTAATTATATAAGTTCTTATTTTTACGTATCGTTATAATATAATCGCTTATATAAAAATACTTAAAAAACAATGTTTACTAAATCTAAAGTGCAATTTCAAGATCAACAACTAGATGATTATGTACTCGAGGTAAAGCAAGAACTTTATTATATATTGATAAATTGCCTTAATAAGTAGTTACAACATCATATTATTAAATTGGATATTTCAGAATTCAGTACTAAAGAGTAAATTACAAAGTAAAGTTGAAGCCTTAGCTATTATGAACAAAGAATTGGACAAGTGCAGTATGGAACGTGACAGATATAAAACATTAGTAGAACAATTACAATGTAAGAAAACTATGTCAATATGCCTTCAAGATAATAATAACTTCAGGTTTACACCAATAAATACTATAACTGGTGGTGAAATACTTGCTAAAACCAGAGACAATAATATTATGTTAAAGTTAGAGGTACTAGTATAATATCCTATTTTACTCCTTATTAATCCTTATTGTACATAAAACTTGTGTTTCTGTTTGTTTGTGGCCTTTCCACGAGTAAGGCACTAAAGCAATCTTGATAAAAATGTAGTATTAAGATAACTTGCATCAAAATATACATAACTAGGTAACTTATGATTATATGCTGTCAACTGCTAAAAATAAACCATTCAAAATAGATTTTTCAACTAATGATGATAGTGTGCTTTACATGAAAACTTCATGCATATGAAGTAGGAAAGATAGATGAAATTTTGTAACGTTTATAGTGGGATCGATTATTATTCTTCATCATTATAGCTTTTCACAAAAAATAAATAAAACAAAGTAATCTCTTCAATATAGGCCTCCCTTAAGGAATAGCACAAAGCACGGTCCTGAGCCACCAGTATCTATCAACTTCCTGCATCTCTTACTAGTTCATCACTATCTAGTGAGGGGCCACAACCCTTTGCTTACAGGTACAAGGCTGCCACTCGAGAACCTTTCTTTCTCATTGGTTGTTAAGCTATATAGTCAGTCCATTGCCACTTTAGCTTATTAATCTGTTGAGCTGGTTGTATACTCTTGTTTTTAAGTTTTGAAGTATAAGTGGCAAGAAGATGTGTTCTCATCTCCCGAAAGCTACCCTGCTGAGTTAGATCCCTTGATTGATCTCTTGATCGAAGTTGGACTTATCTAGGTGGACAATTTGTCCTAGTTAAATATACACGTCAATCTAAGTGCCTCTTAACAACTATCTGCATTGGTGTGATATGGATGTTACAACATATGACCTTGGTTTTGTCTATGTTCATCTTAAGACCTATCTGTTGTGAGACACTATTGAGGTTGTTGAGCATAGTGCTGAGGTCCTCCAGTGATTCTGTCACAATGTCATATCATGTCTATATAATTGGCAAATTGAAGATGTATTTGCCATTGATTGTCACAAAGTATCCTTTCCAGTCCTGTAGATTGAAAATGTTTTCCAATGCAGCCGTAAAGAGCTTAATTTATAATAATATTCTGGTGACAAATAAACTACACAACGTCAAACAGTCCACCTGATAGTTGTGGCTGTTCAAGGACATCCGCTACCTATTCAGAACAAAAAAATATTACAGGTGTGTTTCCATTTATTTTATAAGTAGCATTATGCTGCTTAAAATATCCTATCGAATAGCCAAAGCTAGTTCTAACAATCAGACTGACTATGAATTTATTGATTATCATATCATTAATGGAAAGACATTTATTAATAAGGTTAATAAATAAAAATATTCTACAACCATTTAAACTCTTAATTTTGTTTCAGGTTGAGACTTTACGTAGTAAATTAGAAGAAGCAAATGGTGACATTTTGGCTTTAAGGAGACAAATACAAAAGGGCACCTTAATTGATGAAAATAATGCAATTAAAAAACTTTCATCTATTTCTCCACAAAAGGACTATGAACAGCTAGTACAGAATTTAGAAAGAATTCAGAAAAAAGTAAATTATTGTTTTAGTACTACTATTTTATTAAATTTGTCTTTCTTAGAGTAAAATACTTTATACAGCGTTTAAATGTAATATGAGAATTTCTGTATGATATTAGAATCTGAAATTCCAAACACATACAAATGGATATACTATGTATAATAAATAATAATAAATACATTTAAAAAAGTGCACCTTTTCAGAACATAAAAATTAAATGAAGATAAAATGTATGAAATACATTTTAATTTTTTTTATAGAATTAGTTTGACAAACGTGCACACAGTCCACCTGATGGTAAGTGGTTGCTGTGGCCCGTAGACATGTACATCTATCTTCGTTTACGAATTAAAATGCAGATGCGTTGTTAGCTGTGAGGACTAAGATAGAATGCCTCTTTTCCTGTAAAATAGGTCTGTGGTTCTTTACACTCACCATATGAAACACAGCAGCACTAAGCTGCTATTTTACGCTGGTATTCTGTGAGAGCGTGGTCCTTCCCCGGTCGAGCCCACCCATTCATGCTACAACTATACTATTAATATAGCCGCAGCATGGCTTTACCACGTAAAAAAATAAAATAATAATACTTATACATAATCTTTAAAATGAGTTTTTTTCTATCTAGATACAAAGTTTTAATATAATATCTTTTTATGGAAATCGGTATCTTTTTAAAATTCTGAGCCCTCTTTTAAAGTTACTGCATTATATATTTTTTGTTGCTATACCTATAACCATCAGAAATAAGCGGATGCCTATGCCTTATCTGTAGTAAATACTAATATTAACTGCTTTGTCACGGTGTAAAATGCCAACAAACAAGTTGTACCTAAAAATATGTAAGGGTTGTCACAATATAAAATATCTTACAAAATTTTATTATACCATTTCAAAATTAGTATTCTTCATAATTTACAGATGTATTGGATGTGCCTTTTGCCAAGTTAAAGGTGATTAATAAAGAAACTTTCAAGATTTGCATTTAAAATATTAGGTACTAGTAAGTAGGACCGAATAAAATATAACAGGCTAGTTTAGTATACGACGGGATGTTTTCCGCAACTCCACCTCTATGCGCGTATTTTGCGTGTGGGCAGGAATAATGTGATTATTCGAGCCATGAGATTTCCCCGAAGAAGCTCAACAGTCCTTTGATGTTGCATGCAACTTCGGGGAGTGATCCCGGCGTGCCGAGATGTTTAGCCCTGTATGTAGCGACCTCCGGACATTTCAGTAGCACGTGGGCCGCCGTTTCTTACTCCCCCATACATGCCCTGCACAGTACTGCTACATCTGTAACACCTATAGTAAATAAATGCTTGTTAAAGGTGCCGTATCCTGTGATAGCACTTGTTACTATCCTGATCTGCGGCTTGTGCTGTCTAATTAAAATTTTGGTTAAGCGACTGTTCATTTCAGGCAGGGCCTCCTTAGGTTGTCTGCAGTCTACTAGATTTTTCCAAAGCTGAGCGTGTTGATTAGTGAAGTGTCTGCATACCAATGAACAAACGTTACCAAAGGGGATTGGTATGATTGGTTCCGGCCCTATAGTGGCTAGAGCCGATCCTCTTCTGGCCAGTTCGTCTGCTGCATCGTTGCCTCTGGATCCACTGTGTCCCTTTATCCATTGCAAAGTCGCATTGTTGTTTTTACATATCTCATTTAATTGTTGATGGCATTCATATATTAGTCCTGAGTTCATCACATTGCAACTCAGAGCTTGTAGTACCACCCTACTGTCGGTCAGTATTCTGATGGGGAATTCATTAATCTTCCTAGCATCTATTGCTATGGCCGCTTGAATGATACCCATACATTCCGCCTGAAAGACTGTGTTATAGGTACCCAGCGGTGTGCATATGTGGACATTGAGGTCTTCAGAGAAAGTTCCAGAACCTACACCTTCATTTGTTTTAGAACCATCGGTGAAAACTCTAAGCTCTTTTGGGCTTAATCCTTCCGGCTGCTTGGTTTCATTTAATTGTATCTTGTATTTCTTATCGAAAACAAATTGTTTAGGAATCTTATTGTACTTGGCTTGTAGGATAGGAATTTTTAAGTGAATTCTATCTAATTCTATATAATTAATAGAATCAGGCGTTACTTTGTGGAAATCCATTATATAAAAGCTTTTAAAAAAATTTACTTCGCAAATATCCGCGCTATAAAATAAAATGATGTGTCTTACCTAGTATGAAGAGCACCTCCCGCCCTCCCTCAATTGAGTGCACTATCCCCGTCACCACTAATCCCAGCACCGCTACTCCTAACACCACTACACTAGGCAAGACACACCACTGACGACAATACGACACGTGTTTCGCCTCTACACGAGGCATCCTCAGGTGATAAGACTCTACGGTGGCTAACCGCTAAGTGAGCGGCGAGCCAAAACAACTGCTATTTATACAGACCGCTGACACAACTGCAACCGCTCCCTACTTAAGGAGCGAGCGACTGCGTCATGCGATAAAACATGCGACCTCACCGCCGGACTTACGCAGCCGTTTGTAAAATTAAAAACAAACTGCCGCGCAACACCCGCCTACCCTCCAACCACGCAACCAAACGCCGATCGCCGTGAGGTGACCGTGTGTGTGTGCTGGAACAGTTAGAGATATTAAAAAGTAATAATAGTAATAATATATAAGTAATAATAATTATTTGATAATGATGGAAAGTGACTTGCGTTATTTTAAATTATAAGTAGACGCGGGTCATTAAATAATAAAGAAACCTATACGCATTTTTTAAATTTCGTAATATGTTATTACAAAATACCTCCCATTTTAATGACGGTTTGGGGAAGGTTTCCATGGTTGGTACAATTATAATATTAAGAGAAATGTGCGCAACATTTCTCAATACTTTATTATCTTTTAATTTGGTTGAAAATAACGTACTTTCGTCTAAAAGGAAACGGCGCCGTTTAAAGGTTAGTTCATTATAAATATTTTCTACCACTGCCCATCTAAACCACTTTAATAACTGGTATTAGAAATCGTTGCATAAGATCTGTCATTATTTACGGAATACGCCCACGGTCCCTGCCCCCGCTGCATCCTTCACTTCATTTTATATCTTGATTTTATTTCCTTACTTGTTGGATCTTTGATTTCCTTGATGAAGCTTATTTTCACACAGTCTGACTATAATACGAGCGTTCAATTCTTTTTATATTTTATGACCAGCAAATTCATTCTCCTAATTTCAATATATTATAATCTTCTATTCACCACGTTGTAGGACCCATTTTGTTTATTTTATTTGTATCTTACAATCTAATTTCATAAAATAATAAAGGCGCACACTATGAGAAATGATTTTAAGCGGATATTTTTTATGAAACTCTAAGAAATAAATGTAACATTAATTCTTGAATTCATTAATCTTCTATGCCCTCGGCCCGACATAATTACTGTTTATTTTATTACCGTCCGGTTCTGCCGCCTTATAGGGGAGGAAACTGTGAATGGCCCAATGGATTTTGTCCATCGTTACCACTCTCTGTGCTAAATTCCAGTCTTCTGCTGTTGGTGTCAGTATGTCGTCATGCTGGTTTGCCTCCTGAGTTACGCAGCAGCCTGGGAAGTGCGTTTCAATTAGGACGTGTTGGGCTTCATCCGGCGATGTTGAGTAGCTACCGTCGGGTTTCTTTAGAGAGATGGATCCCGACGTGTTCTGTTTAGCTAGAATATTCCTTATCCTATTTGCTTGTTCACAGGTTTCTATGTTACCACAGATTTTACGCCACCCAATCGAGCGTCGATACCTGATACATTTTTTGTATTCAGACTTAGATTTCTTGTGTAGTAGCCAGTCTTCATCCATTGAGGTATTCATGGCCTTATTTAGCGCTTTTCTTACCTTCTTACGTGTCGTATCTAGTTCTTTACCCCACTACGGTTGCTTTACCTCAGCATGCCTTGGTGGAGTGATTTCTGGACATGATTCATGGTAGCTATCTGTCATGGCCTTAGTAACAGCTGCTACCTGTTCTTCTAGGAGCGACTGATTCGCTATAGTATTTGTCCCCTCAAAACCCACGAGCGAAGACGTCAGCCTGTTAAGGTATTTTGTTTTATCCGTCTTGCGGGGATTTCTCCATGGTGGTGTAGCGGAGATATCGACCAGTAGTACGAAGCAGATCCATCTATGATATGAGCATGAGGCCTCTCTCGACACATGCCATCCCGTAATTAGTTTAGCTGCTCCTTCTGTTGCAAGTGTGAGGTCAATTATTGTGCGACAGCGTTTGTTTATGAAAGTTGGTTCTTTATAACAGGCTAAATTATACATTCTGTTTAATAGCCTTGTATAGATGAGCATTACCGACAAATGTTTGTATACTTACTAGGTGTTTTTTATTGTATTTATTTTTTTATTATTTTTGAAGTGTTAAAACCTTTTTAGAATCATTGTGATTTGAAAGTCGATGAAAAAAAGCGACACTTAAAAAAGAGACAATAAGATAAAATACGGTATACATTGTTTCCTATTATCTTGATCTGCTTTTTGTGCGGTGCATCGTAGAAAAGGAGTCTTCCCACTCTTGACTACTTTTCTGGAGATTTTACTACCGCATGTGAACTGGACATATTTTTTTTTTTCAATTTTATAATTGATTAAATTGCAATTCTCCACCATTATTGTTTGACTTTGACCGTGCGGGTGGTACATATGTTCAAAACAAATAATTAAATCATTGAGTGAACATCAGAGAGAGCAATTTCGCGTATGACGTACTACCGCTGGCGCTGATGTCTAGGGCAGAGGGGGGACTCGGCTCTCCTTCATACTGCACCCGTTTGTTGCTACTAAGCAGCCTAAGAATTGACTCACTATTAGTATTTATTACACATATGCCTATGCCCAGGTATTAGATGTTTATAGGCTGTAAGTGCACTTTAATATTATTATTTTATGAGTAAAATGAATAAAAAAGACTCATAAATGTACACAATTTAATTTGAACTTGTAGTACCAACAACTAAAGTTAGATTATCGGACAACACTGGATGAAAAAGAGGAGCTTGTTGCTGACCGTGACTACTATAAGAGCAAAGTCCATCGTCTAAATCATCAAATCAGCTATGTTCTATCAAATAAAATAAAAAGTCAACAAGATTCTGAGGATCCGCCAAAGCCCATTATTGATATTGATGCATTAGTCACTGAAAATAAATATCTCCATGAAAGAATTACACAACTGCAAGTAGAAAAAGAAATTATTAAAAGAACCCTCACTAAATATAAGGTACCACAGTGCTACTTATTGTTAAGTTAATATAATATAAACTTATTTTGTTCTTATATTAAATTTTATTGTTGTAGACATTGCTTGATAACAGAAGTAAAGGTGAATCTGTAAATTTCAAAAAAGGCTTTGTAGATGTCATGACACAAAAGCAAGGTATGTCCTGTTATTATTTAATTATTAAAAATAGGTTTCTTTCAAGTTAATTTAATATTTTTTTGTTTATTTTAGTAAGAGAATATTTGAATATCAATTCAAAAACAGGTCTTAAAAGAAGCTCGGCTGCGGAATTTAAATCATTATGTTTGGGATTATTTGAGGCATTGAACGATAAATCCATTGCATTACAGCATCAAAGGAAAACAAATCAGTACGTATTTTTATCCATTAAATTAGTTATTTCAAACTTGATAAATTTTCCCTATTTGATATTAAATACAAATGGAAGGTATTATTAATAATATTTATTATAAAAAACATGGGATACTATATTCTTTAATTTCCGCCACAGTCAAATGGTTCATAAACGCGCTAGCTATTAGTGCGTAGGTGCTTTGTGTGATGAATCAGTCTGAAATCTAGTCTGGTGTGTGTTCTGCGAATAACTTTATATTGTTTATGTTTTAAGAGAACATTATCGGTCTTATTTCAAAACGTGGTCAAAAAGTATTTCACGAAAAAATCCCACTTCGCAGTGTAGCCAGTCATTTCGAAGTTTGACAGTTTTCTGTCAAATTACATACTTTACATATGTTTAGTTTAAACCTGTCACTAATTGTAAACCAATTTGTAATATGATGGCATTATAGATTTTACAAGACTTGACTAAAAAAATCATTACCATTAATTCATCACAACATTTCATAGTTTCTAGGTTGGTTTTCATTTATTCCCTTCCATATTATCCCTAGATTTCTTAAGTATTTTACAAACATTACGCGTTAAATCGATTTGAGTTTGCCGTTTCTCTTTGTTTAGTGTAGACTACAATTATTGCGTTGTCACAATTTTGTGCAATAAGTATTCTACTAATAATGTAATAAACTAGAATGTGAAAAAGATTCTTTGTCTGTAGGCATTTAACTATATTTGAACAAGCGTACAGAAAAATGTCAGTAAAGTTGAATGTCTGTAGGTATTATTTTTCCATACGATGGCGGGTTGATCTTACTTGTGATAGGTGAATAATACGCATAGTAAAACAATGTGCATGTTCATTGTTTTACTATGCGTATTATTCAGATTAGCGTTAAAACGGAAAGTAAACGTAAAGAGGTTTTTCGCAGTCATCTTCTGATTCTAATCTATTCTTTTTATATAAAATTAATGTTTGTTTGTTCGTATTTGCGCTGCCATAGGCCTCCCCCAAGGAATGCCACAAAGCACGGACCTGAGCCACCTGCATCCATCAACTTCCTGCTTGTTTCACCAGGTCGTCACTCCATCTAGTGAGAAGTCGCCCTACACTTCGCCTACCGGTACGTGGTTGCCACTCGAGAATCTTTTTTCCCCATCGGTTGTCGGTTCTTCGAGCTATATGGCCGGACCATTGCCACTTCAGCTTACTAATCCGTTGGACTGTGTCGGTCACTCTGGTTCTTTGCGGATATCCTCATTTCAAAGTTTATCACGCAGAGAAACCCCAAACATAGCCTTCTCCATAGCTCCCTGAGCGAACTTGAGCTTCCTCATACGTCGACCACGTCACAGATCCATAAGTGTATGTCCTACCTGGCAACACGCACTGGGTTTACAATTACGTTTTCAAGTTTTGAGGTATACCTGACGAGAAGATGTGTCGTAGTTTCCTGAACGTAGCCCAGCCGAGTTGAAGCCGTCGATTGACCTCTCGGTTGAAGTTGGACTTACTAAGTCGGACTATTTGTCCCAGATAAACATACTCGTTAACGACTTCGAGCTTAGTGCTCAAGAATTACCGGTATATGTGTGACATGGATGTTACACATGACTTTTGTTTTGGCCATGTTCATCTTAAGACCTATCCGTCGGGAGGCACTATTGAGGTCATTGAGCATAGTGCTTAGGTCCTCCAACGATTCTGACATAAGGACTATATCGTCGGCAAATTGAAGGCGAGTGACGTACTCGTTATTCATGTTAATACCGTATCCTTTCCAGTCCAGAAGCTTGAAAACGTCTTCCAATGTAGCGGTGAAGTTTCGGGTATAAAACGTCACCCTGTTACATCTCTCTGCATTTGGATAGGTTCCGTACTCTGGTTCTGTACTCAGAAAGCCATCGTAGCCCTATTGTACAAACACTTCAGTACCTCGATATACCGACAGTCAACTTAGCACCGCTAAAGGGACTGCAGCATCGCCCAAACCGCAACCAAATTTCGACGGAATCAGAGGCTTTGTCATAGTCCACATACGCAAGACATAGTGGCAGATTGTAGTCCTCGGTGTTCTGTACATTTTGCTATGTATATATTTTGGTATGTGTGTGGTCTATGGTGCTAAAGCCTTTTCGGAAACTGGCTTGTTCGGGAGGCTGGAAGTTGTCGAGTCTGCGTGCGAGACGATTCGTAATGACTCGAAAACAGCACGTAGATTCAAGAGAGCGTTGTCGCCTTTCGTGGAGAATATGACCACCGCACTTCTGTTTCGCGCCCTCGGTGTAGTGCCCCCATGGAGAACAGTATTAAAGAGCTTCTGAAGAACCAGGTCTCAGGTGTTCTTATCGATGCTGCTACATTCGATCTCCAGCTTAAACAGTTGGCTCTTTCTGGCAGACAGATCTCTGGCAAAGACTGGAGGCCTGGTTCTGCTCGATCGCTTCTTCAATACGAGCTATATTAAAGTTGTTTAAGCCCCGCCCCATGCATTTGGAGATCTGTGTGTTCAGTTGCCTTTCAAATCTGCAGAAGACTGTAGTTTCATTTCGCGTCTAACAGCCATGAGATTAAGAGTGTGATCAGAGAGTTTTTGTGTTCTGCGGCGTACCATTCATCGGATTGCGGCAAAACTTTGTCAACTTACTGCTTGCACTTGAGCCAAGGTTATAGACATAGTACAATCAACTTATAAAAGTCTTCTTAAAGTTATATACCATTCAATTTCAATGAATGAATTATAATTCCTAATTAAACAATAAAACTCTTCCAAATTTAAAACGATATTTCCACGATGATTTCTTTTGCGCTAGCAATGCGTCGGGTACCAGCTAGTGTAAAATAATAATTAATGTATCCTTTGCTAAGCAGCAGAATAAGTCTCGCTGGCGTTCGTGAGATAAAACATCTATAGCTGTCTTTTAGATTTCTTTGCTTCTTTATTTTATGATTTATGACTTCTCTTAGAAGAATTCTGCCAACGTCATGTCAGCCATAGGAGTGACAGTAAAGTATTTTCTTCTCTTATTAGTTTCTCCTCACAAGCTATGTTTTAGGCACTGTCACTTTTATGGGTCTACCCGGCCGAGAATCGTTGTCAAAGGTGTTTGTAGATTGTAGACCAAAAACAAAAAATATTGCAATCTAGTTTGTTTAAACAACTTTTGAAATTGTTATAGTAAATGTAGAATTGCATGATAGTCGCATATCATAAAAGACACCATACCGAAATACAGTGCTTCGATATGTATAATTACGAAAATGTTATGGATTGGATTGCTTATGTAACAATATGTCAACTTACTTTCTTTACTTTATTGTCTTGTTGTAGTATCATTAAATACGCATTGCTCCGGATCTTTTCCGCTAGATTAAATTTAATAGGATACTTTAATTAGTGCTTTCATTGATGAGGTTAAGTGCTTCTGAAGTATTTAAATGCTTTTATTTTACCTTGGCAACCATACTACATTAGTACGAAGGCGACACTGAAAGTTATTAGAACTGGCCACTTGTAAACGATATAATAAAAAAATAAGTTCATATTTTGAAAATGGAACTCTGCCAATATTATTGTGTATGTATTTTATTAATTTGTAATTTGTTTGCGATTTGGCGGCAAATTGAAAATTGTCTGTATCATGTCAGCATGAATTTAACGCGAGAAAATTTTCGTACAATGATTTTTTATGATTATCGATGTCATTTAAGTCAACAAGAAAGTTATGATAGACTTAGATTGGCCTTTCACGATGAAGCCCCATCTTGTGCCACTGTTTACAACTGGTTTAATGAGTTTAAATGTGGTCGCACTAATCTCACCGATGATCTGCATGAGGGACGGCCTTAAAAGGCGACGACTGAAGATAACATCAGTGTTGTGCGGCGTACGATAGAGACTGACAAAAGAGTGACTTATCAGCAGATTCGGACAAGCTTAGGCATCGGTATGAGTCAAGTGCACAAAATCGTCAATGAACATTTAGCGGTCAGGAAGCTTTGTGCCTGGTGGATACCTTATAATTTGACAGAGGCCCAAAAACTCGTTAGTGTTGATTGGTGTCGTGAAATTGTTCAAAGATTTAACGGAGGTGATTCATATGCTGTGTTCGACATACTCACGGGTGACGAAAGCTGGATTTATTGTTATGATCTTGAAGCTAAGAGACAGTCTGCTGTCTGAGTGTTTTCTTCTGAGGAGTTGCCAAATAAAGTGAAGAGAGGTCGAAGCGTGGCAAAAAAGATGGTGGCCTCGTTCTTCCGAAGGACAGGTCATTACGCAACAATTGGTTTAGAGGATCGAAAAACAGTTACTGCAGAGTGGTACACTAATAATTGTCCACTTGTCTTGAAAAAAGTTCGGGAGAAACATCCTCGCAGTAGGATCCTCCTTCATCACGACAACGCCTCGTCGCACACCGCCAAGCAAACAATCGACTACTTGGCGACGTCAGACGTGGAATTACTGGGTCACCCGCCCTATAGCCCCGACCTCGCACCTTGCGATTTTTATTTATTTCCGAAAATAAAAGAAAACCTTCGAAGAAAATGTTTTATGCACGCCGAGGAAGCAGTGGCTGCGTTTCAAAATGCCGTCGAAGATACACCTAAAAACGAGTGGGCTAAGTGCTTTTCTCAGTGGTTCCATTTGGGCACTATTTTGAAAACATATAATAAAACTAATAACTTGCTAGTTTTTGATTTTCTAAGAACTTTCAGTGTCATCCTCGTACTATTATTTATTTTGTGACTATACTATAACTTTTTTACTTTTGTTTCTTTATATCTTGATTTTTTTTTCAGGATTTTAGCGAACAGAATAAATGAATTGGAAAAAACTTTAGAAAGCTGGTGTAATGGTCAAAAATGTATCCCTATTTTTCCATCCCAAATGCTTCTGGAGGATTTTCTTCCTGACTCCGCATCCGTAAAATCGGATGAAACAAAAGAAAAAAATTTGTATGAGCCTACGCAGGATAATGATTTAAAGATGAGATATTCTGACAGTGATGAGGACTTAAAATCTAATATTGATAGCCAAACAATTCATTACGCAGATAATTATGAAAATGGTAGTGGAGATAATAGAATTATCACTAAAACTGTTTTACCTTTCGAATTGGAACAGTTAGTGAAAGAAGCTCTAGCTGAATTAAAACCCATACAGTAAAGTATTTATAAGTTAAATGAAAGAAAAATATAAATTAAATAAAATTAGATAAAATGGCATGTACTTATAGGTATTTAAATTTTTGTGATAGTTCATTCCAAAGTTGCATGTTTTTTTTCTAGTCAATCTATTACTTTGCTTTATAATGTTATTGTGATAGCCCTGTTTATACTATTTATTTAAAATAAATGTTTTTAACAAAAATAATTTTTACTACTGTCCCCTTGGTATACAGGGCTTTCCTATTTTAAGTACCTATTATCATAGATCATTCTCACATTAACCCTTTCTGTCTTTTCATTGTATAAATAGGAACAGAGGTCCCAAACATTTACCATAGTTGCCACGATTGGCAGCCGGATACGCAACCGCAATTTTTATATTATTATTTTGAGTTGTAATATGAATGTTCCAATTTCAAATTTCTCTTCACATTATAATGAGTATTATCCAAGTTTCAAGTTCAAAATAAAAGTTTTTACTAGCTAAATTGGAATATGGAGTATAGGTATTTTCGTCAAATATAAGATTTTTCGCGCGATGATTTGTACGATTTGAAATGTTGCCTAAAACCGGACGAATCGATTGATAAATTTCAAATGGCATTTTACACCATTTATGGGTAAACTTTTCTAAGGTAACCGTGTACCGCTGATATAACAAATTTCAGCACGGTCGACTAACTTCGAGCGATGAAAAAAGACACTTCTTTTCGACGGACTGTGACGGTTGTTACGAAAAGAAACGTGCTAGCAATGAAAAATTAATTGAAGAAAACAGTCGAATTACGTATGAAAAGATTCAGTACATACGTACCTACCTATTAAAGATTGGATCGGGAAGCCTTCATGAGATTTTACAAGAATGCCTTCTCACGAGGTGGATAGTTTCGCATTAGGTGCCGCATAACCTTACCGATGCTGAGAAACGGCCTATGCGGAATGGTGCCATTTAACAGTTTCCCTGTCCACGAAACACACACAATAGTTAAAAATTTGAAATGTTCATAAGTATATGATTCATGGGACAGCGAAAGAGTTAAAGCAGGCTCGTCTTACCGTGTTTACGACTTTATGACATCATTACAAGTAATGAATAGTGGATTTATCAATACGATCCAAAAACAAAGCTGCAGTAAGACTTCTATGTATACAGTAGTATGTGTTGTAAATTGAATTTGTCGGTCTAGTAAGACCGGCAATTCAGAACAAAAATTATATCGCAGCTGTGGATTGCGCGGGCGCAGGCGCGCTATCCACATCTTTTTTAACAGTGGTAGAGCCACGCGGCAGCTTTTGCTGTCACACGGATGGGCCGGCTCGAACCGGGGTAGTACCATGACCTCACAGAAAACCAGCGTGAAGTAGAAGTTTACCTCTGCGTTTCGCTTGGTGAGTGCAGGTGGCCGGAGGCCCTTTTTACTGGAAATGAGGCATTCCACCTTAGTCCTCATGGGTGACAACGCTCCTACATTTTGATTTGTAACAGAGGATAGATGTAGATGTTTATGGGCCGCAGCAACCACTTACCATCAGGTGGACTGTGTGCTCGTTTGTCACCCTTATCCTATAAAAAAAAAGACGCGAGCGCGAGCGGGGGAGCGGACGGGTAGCTGCCACGGTAAATATGCCTTACAGTTGTATTTTCAATTACGACAATTAGGTACTCTTTTTACTTCTTTTTCAAATAAAGTTACGTACTTATCTGAAATAAACTTTAAATCACATAAACACGTAATACAAAATCAGTGTTGTCTAAAACCACGTTCGGGGCTTACAAAACAAATAAGTAATCTTCTTACCCGCTTGCAGTCAATTAAAGAAGTTGCGGAGAATTGACTGTAACTTAGTGCGCAATGTATTAGTAATGTTACGAGCTTGAGGTTCGAGACAATTAAAAACTGCGGATTGAATTACCAAATTTGACACTTTAATTACGGATACTAATTACACCTTAAAACACACTAATAATAAAACACAATAATTCTATTGATCACTTAAGTTCGCAGTTGTTTCGCTTCGAAGTATTCTCTTGTATCGCCAATTCAATACTGCCCCGGTCGTGGTCTATACCGGCCTTATATAGGGCCTCAGATAGTTTCCAGAACCTTCTACTGTAGCGACCTCTAGAATGTTCGAGTACATATCGGTCCCGAAATTTCTGGAAGGATCTCGACTCTCCTAGTTCTGCTACTCGACACTAGAGGGCGCTAGTGTAACTAGTGTTGCCATATACAAGACATTAATAGTGGCGCGTAACAGTAACATAGTGTCCGTTTAGTAGTATACATAGAAGTGTTCGGCTCCAGTCTATGGTTCGGCTGTTTCAAAATGAACCTATGCCTACCAAAGTAAAGCGATCGAAATGTGCAGGGAAGATTTTGGTTTAACTGGGATTAATTTCTTTGCAGCAAACCGATTAAGCTTTTGAGGCACTCCTTACAGCTCAAATTTGTTACCGTATGATTTTATTCCCTAAATTAAAAAAAATTGCTGAAAGGTATCCTAACTAAACTAAGACATTTTTTTCGCAAAACTTCCTGAAGTGGCCAACGTATATATGTAATTTTATTTTTAAAATGGCCGACCTATATTAATTGATGCTCGTTGTTTTTGTACAGCTACGAAATGATATAAACATACCAGCTAATGTATTTCACGCAGTTATGTGGGAACTAAGAACACACCCTTAATTGTTTTAGTACTTTACAAGTAAGCAATTTATTTATGGCACAACAAAGTTTTTTATCTACTGGTTCAGTTTTTGTAGAGGAAGCTCGAAATGGATAAGCATATCGTATTTCCGTTCGGACATTCAACAGAAGTAGGTATAATAGATATAATTTAATTCAGGCTTCTTTGAATAGCTATTATTCTGGATAAGATGTCAACGCACTGCGCAGGATGTAATTGTGATACAAATTTATCTGCAGATGCAAATACTCGTTAATTCTACTCGTGTCACGGCTTAAGTAATTTTATGTCGTAGTAGTATCGTAGTATGTGTCGTAGTCGAGTAATGTATGGTTGTTACAGTTTCTATTGTCTAAATCTAATTTAACTTAAAAAATTTTATTTATTTATTTATTACAAAAACAGTAACATTATCATAACAGTACAAAACCAAGACGATGCTGTACAAAAACCAAATAATAAGTAATAAATATAACTACAGACGTAAAATATATGCTTAATACTGTTATAATTAAGAAAAAAAAAAGTATGAAAAAATCTCACAGACCCTGTGCGCCGCCTCTGTGAACTTTGCCAGGCTGCAGTGAAAAATGTCCGTTTCTTCGGAAATAATATTCAATAACCATAAAGCCCGTGACATAGGTGCAAACCTGAGCAGATTTGTCCTCGCGTGCGGCACCTTAAAGGTGGGATGTGGGCGACGCCTAACTACTGCCTTATCAGGCACAAACAGCTGCAACGCCTCCAGTACCTCAGGATGGTATAGCTGGCCACGCAAGACACGCCACACGTACTTGCAGAGTGCGACGTCACGCCTCACACCAAGCTGGCTGTACCCAACCATGCCAATCACGAATAAGCTCGGGTACATCAGCGGGTAGAAAGGATAGAGGATCCCCTATATATAATGTAATCTGTGCTCTGTGGCGCAAGTGCGCGCGCGCCTGTGTCATGCTTCTTTCATAGGGAGTAATGATCGATAAATAAAAAAAATGCTTAGCTTTAAATATTTAGGGCATGGTGTTTTAGAATTATCAAGACAACAGCATTTTTACAGTGCGGCAGAGTATACATGGTTTCATTGTATGGCGAATGCCGCCAATATTCAGCGTCAACTTTGCGTACTTATTGTGAGAGTTACGGCGTAACTCGCGTGTGCCACTAGCGTCTGGACAATCCTGGAAGCTGTCGAAAGAATCAGGGAAAATCAGCACATAGTGCCCAACACTCATGAAGGAGTTGCTCCGCGTCACTTTCCATCCATTTTCAAACAAAGAGTCTTAGACCATTTCGATCGAAATCCAACCTGCAACCTTAAACAAGCTGGGCTTGTGTTTAGAGTGAGGCATATGTTCTATGCCTATGTATACATCGAGTGCTGAAAAGGAACAAATTACGTCCTTATAAATATGCCAAGGTGCTGCCGTGTGATAAGCCGATTAGAGAGTTACTGCCACTGGGTACTGGAAAAAATGTCTCAAGAACAACGTTTCCTATCAAATGTGTTTTGGACAGATGTAAGCACGTTTACTCGAAAAGGCATACGGAACCGACAAACCATGCGTCACTGGTGCCATACGAATCCCCATTTATTTAGGGAATCCGCTCATCAATACCGATTTTCCATTAATGTACATTATTTATTTATCAGTTAGTACCTATTGAATATAACATAAAAAATGGGTTTAGTTTTGAAAATAACTTTTGTTTGGTTTTAAAAATAACTTTTTAGTTGGGTTTAAATTTAATCAATACCTACTAAATGAATTTAAATCGGATTCAAAATATTAAAATTATTGGATTCCGCACACAACCGCTTCGTAGAGGGCCGACTGCGCGAGTGGGCCGCGCGACAATTTATTTTTTGACATGGACTCCCATCCGCATTCCAGTGACACCCGCATCGCATGGTGCTGGCAGTGTAAGGATTTTTCGGCGTTACGATACGTACATACGATAACTGTAATAGTTAGACATATGGTATCGCGGACTTTTTTGTAGATATTGATGTCCTTTATAAAACTGTAGCACATCACTTTGCTCTATTGTCAATAGTTTCCGCAGCGTACGCGATATAAGAATTTTTTGTTAGTATTATGTTCACACCTTGGGTTACATTAACGAAGTTTTCATACGGATCCCTAACTTTTTTGAAAACATTCTATCGCCTATGTTCTTCAGGAATAATGTAGGATTCTAAAGGAGAATTTTTCGAATCGGTCCAATAGTTTCGGAGCCTATTCAATTCAAACAAACAAACAAACAAATCTTTCCTCTTTATAATATTAGTGTAGATGAAGTGTACTC